ATGAACAGTCAAGGTTGATTTCCTTTAAGATTGACTGGTTTGACCTCCTACCAGTCCAGGGGACTCTCAAGAGTCTTCTCCAGCACCACAGTTCAAAGGCATCAATTCTTTGACGCTCCCTGGCTGTGGGTCCTCGGAAGCTTTAACCAGCTCTGCCCCTCTTTGCTCTGCAGACATGAGCTGCCGTGCCCAGAAGGACCCATCTCATACCGGTTTCTCAGCTTCATGCCCTTTTTAACAGCCTGAGGGAGGTGGGGATTTGGTGGCAGAAGAGAGACTGCCCAGTCCAGAGACAGGAGGGCACAGAAGGAAGAGGGCACAGGTTCTCCCTTCCAGAGACCTCCTTGGACTGTCAGAGGAAGCTCTCTGCCACAACCACGGCCTGCATGTTACACTCACTTTTCCTTCTGGGTTTGTAGGTCTTGAAAAATACATTGGCTTGAAGTTCTTGGATTAATTGCCATATGCAGAGTCATTTGGAGAGAAGCACTCAGATTCTATTTCAGGAAGTCAAAGAACTTATTCTCCTAAATGAGAGCAATGTGAGGCAGTGGAAATCCCCTGGAAATGAACTTCTGGCCTCCTTCGGTCAGACAAGGCATAACCATTTTGAGCTTTTTTGAGATTTCTTTGAATGGGAACGACACTAAAGTCCGTGCCTGGGAGGTGGGGCAGAAGGCCTATCTCTGCTGTGCTCCCTTGCTTTTCCAGGAAAGGAGCAGCTCCATACAGTGGGTTTCATTGAGCTCCTTCATTCTGTCTGCAGGATGCTTGCCTACGCACCATTCAGAGTTGCTCCCCCCAGTTTGGGTGCTCCCTTTCCTGCTAAAAGTAGATGGACTGTGGAATTGCACGAGGCTGCCAGCATGTCACGGGTTACAAGATGGGGTTATGAAGCTTTCTGACTCTAAGTTTTCCCAGCCAAGGAAGATGTTTCTCTGCTTGCAGGAGGCCTCCCCTGGGACATATTTATCTGCAGCCTTTGTCTTCTTCTGGAAGAAATCTCAGCACCGAAAGAGCACACACTTTGAATACAGAATCCATCAAGTTCAGTCTCAGCATTCAGCATTCAGATACAGTCCTTGCCCCCCCCTCCCCCCAGGTTATTACAATGAGGATGGACAGGCCACATGCATCCTCAACCTGTTTTTGTGGTTCTCAGAGCATCCCCCCCACCCAACTGGTGCTGCTGGCAAACCACTAACAATGGGATGATTCCTACTTATTTTCAATAGCAAGGGAAATTAAATCCACATTTAATGTATTTAATGCATTCACAACCTGGGAGGAAAATAAAATAGAAATGGAATAGAAATCCCCGGTGATATTGTAACCATCCTGGCTTGTCCACTGCAGCCCTCTGCTCTCTCTCCAAGAAGTTGTACCTTTTCGGTGTGCCCCCCTTTTACGAAAGCTGGTGGAAGGAGCCCCATGGGGCCAAGCCTGAAGTTCACTAGTGTGTGAAGCCTTCAGGCACATATGAACGCAGGAAGAAGTGTTTGGTTCTCTGAAAAGAGGTGGGAGAGGAAAAGTGTGAAACCGGGGGGAAGGGGGCTCAGCAGCACCAGCAGCAACTGCTTCTGCCCCACCCCCCCAAAGCATATTTTTAACTGGCACAATTAAGAACTGTGGGAGAGCTCAGCTCTCAGGTTGACAGAAAGGTGTCTTTTGACTAATTAGGAGGGTTGGTGTTGATGGGTTGAGCTTCTGCTGGAGCTGAGTAACTCTTTTCTAAATCCAGCTAAGGGGCATAGTTTGGCATAGGAATGGTCTTAAGGAGCCCCTGGACCACTAGCTCAGGGAAATAAGGTCCTCCTACCCTGAGAGGCATGAGCTGTGCTGGCTCTTGCAAAAGCAGCAGGTTGGCTCTACTGGATGGGATCTGTCTTGAGGAACTCTTGGCTACTTCTGGAGCCCTACCTGAAATTTACAGTGTGCTTCAGTACAGAATCAGACTCTCCTTGCAGAAAGGGAACTGAAGCTCAACATGTGCTTGGGGCCACAAAGTCTGTCCATAGCAGAGTTGGGATTTTCACCCACCAGGCATGATGACCATGGGGTCTTGCTCCATCTTGCAGAGTCTTGCTGAATCTCCTTTCGGGAGCGATGGCCCTCCACCACAGTCAGACTGGTCCAGAGCAAAGGGGTGGACTGATGAAAGGGTGAGGGCGTTGCCAGCTAAGCTTCCTGGGATTCATTCATCCCCGCATGGGGGCCGACCTTCAGGGCTAAGCACTGAGGGAGGGGCTGAACCAGTTCTTCATTCCAGTTTCATCCATATCTGCAGTAAAGATGTTCATCTAGCTGTCATGTCTTCTGCCATGTCAGCCAAGACCTGGACAAGGGTTAAGCATCTGCAGATCTCGGTTTACTGTCCATGCTGTACTTGACAGAGACTAGGATTCTGAAGCTGGAAGCCCCCCTTGAGGCCAAGGAGTCCAGCCCCTGCTCAGTCCAGGAACCCAACCCATGCATCTCAGCAGACGGCTGTCCAGCCTCCATGCAGCACCTCCAGAGGAGGGGAGCTCTCCTCTCGTTCCTTCCTCCTTGTGGGAAGTTTCATGGAATCACACACACACACACCCCGCTTGGGGTCATTTGTGTCCCACTTGCTGTTAGGAGTCACTCAGATTTTGGTGTCCAGCCAGAAGCAGCTGCTTGTCATGCGGAGCGAGAAATGGATCTGTGGATTTCTTACATCACCGTTTGTCCTCCTTGGTATGAAAAGAAAAGGCTTCTTTGCATGAACAGAGCAGGAGCAGAATCCACATCCAGGGACAGCATCTTGAGCACCTGCCCCATCATTTCTGGAGGGGAGGGGTTGGCGCGCTCTGCCTTTCTCCTTCAGATGAGCCTGTGTGCTCCTTTCTTCCCTGCATCAGCATTTCTGAGACCCTTTATCTCATGCTGGTTGCTTGGTTTAAACCGTGTAGATAACTGCCCATCTCACAGCAGTGACTCTGCGCAGTGCCCAGAGAATTAAAACCACATAACCCAGAAACATAATATGCACAATAAAGGACCCCGTACTGATGAGACTGACTGGCTTGCACTCTTCTCTGTTGATCCCCTTCCCTGCAGGCCCTTCCCATCAGAGGAGACCACAGAAAACGAGGACGATGTCTATCGCAGTTTGGAAGAGCTGGCGGAGTAAGTGTCCCGTGCGTGAGTGACATGGAGGCCCTGAGGCCCAGCTGGTCTCTTGCATCATCCATGTATCTGGCAGGAGGAATTCAGGGAAAAGGCTTTCCTTCTACAAACGGGTCATGTGTTCTCACCAATGCTGGCCATCTTTGGCGCTCTTGCAGTTCCTCGGATCCCCCGGGCAGCTCTTCCCTCTGGCGTGTGCCCCCAGAGCCACCCGACAGCCTTGGGCTGGGCTGACGCCACACAGAGGAGGGCGGAAACGTTGCCATGGCTCCTTTCCTTCCCAGTTCAGTTTGGTTCTCGGCAGCCTTGGCACGTTGTGCTGTGCAAGGGGCCCAAAGGAGAGGCCGCTCTCCCTGGCCCCATCCTGAGTGGTGGCTGGCACAGAATTAGGGAGGGGACAGCAGCATGGGTGCTTCCCTCCCCAACCCCCTGCTCTGCATGGCTGTGGGGCCAGTGGCCTTGGGAGAGTTCACCTGGCCAGCAGCGGCCTTTTCTCTCCCTGCAGCAGTGGCTGCGCCATCTTCTCGGGATGGCAGGAAGGATTCTGGTCCTCCCTCTTCTGAGATGTAGAAAGGGCCACTTCGTAGGCAAAGCTAATGAAAGGGCTCCCCTATTTTTAATAGCTCTGCTGCTGATGTCCATCTTGAAGACAGTTTTAATAAGCTCGGATGCAAAACACAATCATATAAATGATATATAAGAAAAGGTTGCGTGTATAATTTGATCTGGGAGATTTTATTTAATATTTAGACTCTGCTGTTACTGTATTTCAAGGAGGTTTATTTTATGCCAGTATTAAGGGGGAGGTCAGCCCCTCCCCCCTTTAAAAGGTCACTGCAGATTACTTTGGGGTGATCATCCTCTTTGACAGCCAGCCGCTTGGCCTTTGCCGCACCCCTTCTCTGGGCCCAAATATGCCTTCCAGATTTGCATTCCAGTTAATCTTTCATTGCCACTAATATGCATTTAAAGATAGTTTCTTTTCTTTCTTTCTTTATTGTTGTAGCTCTAGTAAGCTGATGGAGGATAACCCATAAATTAAGGCAGCACCAAGAAAGGAAAATCACTTTAATATTTATTAAATATTAATGGCAAATTAATAACAAATCATAGAAAAACAGTGGAAACATAATATCAGATGACCATACATTTAAAACATAATAATGAAACAGTGCTGAGTAAAAGATAAATCAGAAACTAATCAAGTTATAACCAGTGGTAAAAGCAAGCATATTAATTCTTAAATTACATCTTTCCCAGCATAAGTGCTTCAGCATTCTAAATATTAACCATAAAGGGTAATAATATGGTACCTGCCACTTGGGTTCCAGGTTTACATTAAGGTTTCAGGATTGCAGAGAAGGGAAAGGTGTCCCAAAGAGGATGCATCTTTTTCTCAGCTAAGAAGGTCGCTGAACGGAGTGGCCTGTCTCTCTCTACGGGGAGAGGCCAAAGCCAAAGGCAGCAGGAGTCCAGCCCCACGGCCTTGAGCGTCCTGGCTGGAGCAGCTCCTTTCCCCTCTGGGTCAGCATTTCTGAGACCCTTTCTCTCATATTGACCCAGGTCCCATCTGGGTGAGAGTGAAGGCAACTCCAATGCTTTTAAAGTTGACTGAGCCAAGGAGCTGTTATATCCGCCCCCCCCGACATTAAATAATCTGCATTTTATTCTAGTGAGCATGATTTGGGAGAGGATATTTACGATTGCGTCCCGTGTGAAGATGAAGGAGATGACATCTATGAAGATATCATCAAAGTGGAAGTCCAGCAGCCCATGGTGAGAAACCTGTGACTTGCTGAAGGGAGAAGGAAAGAGTCAAACCCCTTCAGCCTATCACTTTTTGAGCTGGCCTCCTTTAGAAGTTGGAAGCAGGCTGGGAATGGCAAGAGTTGGGTGGGGGTGGTCCTTGGACCTTCTTCAACCCTGGCTCCCCAGCCAAGAGCTCTATTGAATTTCAGTTCAGGAAATTGTGCTCCCTCCCCATCTTCTGATCAGTCATTGTCCAGCGGAGGAACCATACCTTGAGAGGTTATTGCTGAAGATGCCTCCCAAGTAGGTGGAATTACTGTGGCAGAGAAAAAAAGTTGTAAGAAGCTACATTTCTGACGAACGCATCAAATGGGAACCAGATCACAGGCTGCTTTGATGTATTGTCACTTTGCCTTCCAGATGGTGGAGACTATAGGGACAATCAGTGGCTCTGCTAGCCAAAGTATTTGTAGATTCTGGCAAGTGCTGATCAAGAGTTTCCATGCAGAGCCTGAGGTGTCTTTCTCAGAGCCCCTTCTTCCCTTTCCTTCCTCTGGTTTTCCTGCTGCACTTTCCTGAGTCATGGAGAGTTGGCCAAGATGTCAAAGGGATTTGGGAAAGTGCTGGTCAGAAGGCAATCCAGGATAGGACAACTTTGGGTGGGCCAGTCCTGAGTTCTGAGATACGAGTGGAAGCAAAGCTACGTACCATCCCTTCTGTCCTGTTTGGTGCATCCTGGCTGATGGTAGTCAGCAAGAAGAGTAAGATTAGTTTGTTTCATCCGCTTGGGATCTCAAATCTGCCAAAAATTAAACTCACAGAGATCCAAAGCTTTCAGTGTAAAAGCTGCCTAAGAAAATGGGGGCAGGAATGAAGTTTCTAGTCTTCATGGCTCTGGAGTAAGCTTGAGAATCAGCAGGAAGGGGCTTAGAGGAGAAGGCAACACTGCAAAGCCAAAGCTGCCCATCGACCACGAAACTGAGCCCTCCCTCCCGATCACTATAGGGAATTTGTGCATTGAAAGTTTGGGGGAGAAACAGACATGCTGCATCAGATGAACTCAGAGGATGCTCCCTATCAACTTCTGGGTAAACTTGCTCCTTCTGAGCAGCTGGGGATTTTCTCTTGCATTTGGACCTCACCAGACAAGTTTCTCCTGAAGGGCAGGTGGGCCCAAAGGCAGCATGGAAAGACCACCCACAGCAGGTGGAGAGCTGGTGTCTTTGAGGAGGGCACAGCCAAGAAGATCCTCCTTCTCCACAACCATCACTCACTTAACTGCAGAGGAGGGTTGGAGGGGGTCCTCCTGAGGGGCAGAGTCCTCCAAGATACTTCTAACTGGCAGTGGTGGAGTCCCACCTTCTAAAGGTTCATGCAAGGGCTCCTTTTGCTAAATGGAGAGTTCAAAGTGCCTTGCTCCCCAGTTCTTGGGACATGTGCAGGGGAATGTGGCTTACTTAATGGGAACAACAGGGTTCTCTTGCATTTCACAAAGGCCTCTTATACTTTCTCCAATGGGGCCTTTTTGGAAAAAGGAAAAAAGGAAAAGTAAGCAGGCAGTTTTTGATGCCAAATGTATAACCATGCTTGACTTTGCTTGTTATCTATGCATGCTTCAGATCAGATACATGCAGGTAAGTTTCTGGCTGTAAGTGAAGAGGGTCCCTCTCCCCTTCCTGGGTCTTTGGATTCTAGAAAAAGCATCACTTAGTGGGTCTGTGCCCAACATTAATGCAACCCCCAAAGGTCCCACATGCCCGGTGAGCTCCTGCCTCAAGAACTGCAGGTGCTGGGAGATGCAACTGGTTCTCAAGTGAGGTGCATGGGCTCTCAGCAGGGTGGAATTGATTAGGAGACCACAGATCTGGAGCCTTTGAAGTCCTCCAGTTGCCTCCCAGAGGCTGCTGGTAGCTGCCACCAGTACCATTCCTGATGTGTGGAATTGGACGCAATCTCTTGCATTGGCCCCCATTCTGTTCCCCCCTTCAAACAACCTCACAGTTATATGCTGCAGAGAGACAAGACGAATAGCAGAAGCATTTGTCCCTATATTTTGGAACATTCCCTTGTTCATTGATAAATCCAACTGTTCCCTAAGGTCCCTCCCACCTTTGGACAGCTGGCCTGCAAGAATTTGACTGGGAAATAGCAGAGAGGGAGGGGGACTGCCATTCTGAACTAAGGCAACCTCATTAAAAGCACAGTTTGCTCTGTGGCAGATAAGTATTAGCGCTTGATTCCCCCTGATTCCCCCCATCCAAAGACCGTTGAGGATGAGTTTGGATCTCAGCTAATCTCTCTCCTTCTCATAGTGTTGACTGAGGAGATCAGTGCTATTCTTTTGGAAATGCATTTCATTTGTGGCCAGCCTCAAATCTTTAGTGATTTTGCAGAGTTTAGCCCTGAGAATTAGCCCCAGGTAGATGCTCAGCTCTTTGGTTCTTGCTGGAAGGCCAGTGCACACTGTTTTGCAAGGCCAGGGAGGAGGAATGTAGGTTGGCCTTCTCACAGGTGCCTCCCGCATTGTGAACGCCACAAGCAGGGAGACCGAGCCATATGTCAAGCAAGCAGGAGGGGTCTCCCAGGCCTCAGAGTTGTGGTTTCCTGAGTTGGGGTGGGAGAGCCCTTCCCCAACCTGACCTTGTGCTGTCAAACCCCAATTCTTTCCCTGTTGGGAATCCTTCCATTTTCCAATGGAAAGTAATTTGGGAGCAGCCACACCCTGCCCCCTGCTCTCCTGATGGATCTACATGTGGTTGCTGGAGGCTGTGTCATTATCTTCCCTGCCTTGCTGGGTCTTGCTGCTTTCAGGGAGACCAGTCAACTTGATATGTGGCCATCCATCATTGCCTACCAAAGATCCACCCATGAGTGTTTCAGTGATGCAGATGGGGACCAGCACACCTACTGTCCATATGAAAGTTCTCCAACTCCATTCAGGGCCACATCTCCGGGGTGGGTGGGAACAGTCCCTGCCCAGAGTGCCCAGAGTCAATTCAGAGCGGGGCCTCCTGGGAAGCAAGGCATCTTGGGTCCATTCCACTGAATGCAGGTCCATTCCACCTCTGGGCATCGGGCTGCCAATTGTCTGTGCTACTTCCTCTAGAAAATGGGCATGACAGAAGATGACAAGAGGAACTGCTGCTTGCTAGAAATTCAGGAGACGGAAGCCAAATACTACAAGACGCTGGAAGAGATTGAGAAGGTGAGTGACAGAGGCTGTAGCTGCAGTTCCTCTAAAGGGTCACACAGGGCGGTGGGTCAGCCCCAGCTCTTCCCAAGCAGAACTGGGTCAGGGAGGCATTTTGCATCAGCCTGTGCCTGATACGTCTCCATGGAGGGAAGAATAAAACGTGAACAGACTCCCTGCCAGATTCTGAAGTGGAATTGCTTTCCCAGAATATGAAGGTCACAATTTAATATGTAGAAGGGACCTTTGTAGGCAGCTGTCGATTTTGAGAAGGCTGCATGCTCTGCTGCTGCTTCTCACGATTTTCTTCATTGCTTTTGCAGAACTACATGAGTCCATTAAGGCTGATCTTGACTCCGCAAGACATGGAAGCAATATTTATAAATTTGGAGGTAATGTTTCTGTGGGTCTGCTTGGTTTTATTATTGAGGCTATGTTTACTGCATGCCACAAGCTTCTGGTTTACAGTAAGCCCTGAAAACCCAGCTGGTGTGTTGGATGTCTCCTCCCCTCAAGGAAGCCCATCATCCACACCCCTTTCTGAACTTCCTCCTCAGGGAGGGTTGCCTGTGCAGCCCACACAGCTACTAACAGATGTGGGCAATCCCCCAGCTCTCACCATTGCTCGGAGTGCAGGGTTCTCTCCACGTGTCAGGAACTGACCAGGAAAACAACCGACCTTTTTTCACCTTAATCAGCTACTAGGCTTTAACTGAGAGTGAGAAGCCGCTGATACAGAAGCACTGCACTGCAAACGGTGAAGGATCATCAAGGAGCCGGTGTTCCTGCTCCCACGGGCCTCAGGCACCCACCACCCGAGGGGAACTAGCAGAGAAAGGGCAGAACCCCAGAGTCTGCCGTGATTTCCAGGCCTTCAGTCCACCTCAGGAAGACTCAGCTAAGCAAGAAAGGCAGGCTGCACAGGGAGCCAACTGCATTCCCTCCTGTTCCTTCGCAGCCCAAGGATGTGGCCTTTTCCCTTCCTCAGGCTTCTCAGCTCCAAAGTAGCTCCCGTCTCCTCAACCTTGTGAAGCCAAGACTAAAGACTGGGGCCTCCTTAGGAGTTCAGGCCAGCTCTTCTAAGAGGACAGCGCCAACTGCAGGACACTGGTAGCAGTTTCTGTTAAATATCAGCCTTCACTGAGGCAGCATTCCTCTTTCCCTCATAACAGGGGAGCCTCACAGCCCCCATGGATGACTCATCTTCTGAGGATGGCAAAGATCCTGAAGAGGTTTTGGAAGCCAACTAAGGCCAAAATCTGACAGGAAGCATTGGCCCTTTGTGGCTGGAATACCCTCAGCCCCAAACTCTGAAGCCTTTGAAGTCCTTCAGAGAGCCAGCCCCTGGAGAGTAATGCTTACTCTAGAGTTGCTTCCTCTGCGCAGACCTACGAGCTGATGGAGTAGATGTTAGCTCATTGTATAAAGGTAGCCCTCGTAGCCCCTGAAATAAAGGCCCTTGTTTGGATATAACCAGAATTGGAACAGGATCTACAGCTCTTGTTGCCTCATGACTGGCTGCCTCAGTCACTGCATTGGATTCAGACTCAGAAGTGCTCTGACTAGCTCTTCCCTTGAAACTTTGGAGAAGGGAACTCTTAAGATGGCTTGGCGTGACTCTTGTCTGCTGACTCACTTGGTCCTCTGGTGATTGATGATTAAATAGAAGGAAGGCTTTGCCTTATCCTCTCCCGTATCATTTCTGCAGCAGAACCAAGAGGGAGACGACCACTACAGCTGCCTGGAGCTCTCCTTGGTCCTAATGAGATTTGTGAGACTCTGAGTGAAATTTGCCAGATGATGCAATGTGTTCTTCAACTTGACTTTTCATGGGGTTGATGAGATTTCCTGTCTTCATTTAGGTGTCTGCTAGCATTTCTTGCGGTTGACCAAAGCAGAGTTGAGGCTCACAGGAGAGGCAAAATAGGCACTTAGATAAGATTCCTCTTCCAAATTATCCACTGTCATGGACAGCACCAGGTCTGGGAGGGAGGAACAGCGAGGACTAAGAAGTAACAACCTGGTCTTGGTGAGGCAGGGGTTCCCTGACATCCTGCAACTTCAGCTGACCTGCTGCTGAAGTGACTTGAGGTGCTGGCTGGATCACATTCCTCATCTCCTGCTGGAGCCTCTCCTTGCGGCCAGAACAGAACCCAGAAATACATAATTTATGGCTGAACCAGCATAATCGCCTTAACTGGCAAGGGCTCCTTACTTGGGATGAAGCCAGGAAGATGTCCTATTAAGTACTGATGGGAAGGAAATGACTCTGTGATAGGACTCTTTGCTCAGACCAGCTGCTCCAAATTAGGTGGCTCTGCCTCCCGCTCCCCAAAGCCTTAGGATGCAACCCCCCCCCCCC